TTTGCTTGTGAGTTGGTACTTGATGTAAGCTTGTGTTATGATTATCAATCATGTTATTTGTGTAATAACCTGGTCATTTCCTTCCTTTCATTTTTTTCATAAAATTTTACTAGTGAATTTTTTTCGTTGAAATTTCTTTTATGAGTTTAGTTTATCATCACTTAGTGTCGTCTCGAATGTTCGGAAATGGTTTCTGAGACTCTTTCCTTTGAATTGACAACTTTCTTTGAGAACTGAGTCATTTTCACATTTTTTGTTTTTCGACACTATTCATTTTTCGTCCTTTTCCCTATTTTGTTTTTTCCCCATTTGTCACTTTGTTGGCATAACCTCACTTTTTGTGTTCGGATTTGGTATTTGACTTCATGTACCTTCATCCTAAGTGGTTTCCATGAAATATGTATCTTTACTTTTGTAAAAAAGTACCCTGATCGCTCCCGGTGTCCATAAGCGCATGGATGCATAATTCTTCAGAAACTTTTTCTTTTCTTGGGATGTTTTTTGTAAATATCTTTTGAAGATATTTTATTTCAGGGGTTTTTAAGAAAATATTTTTAGAAGATATTTTCATTCTGGCCAGTTGTGCAGTTTTCACTTTTTAGAGGGATTGTGCAATTAATGAAAGTTATTACAAAATGCCTTGTATTGAGCCTGGATTCTCGTAGGGGACTCATTTTCACTTTTCGTCGAGTCGCGTACTCTTAGAATTTCCTTCTGGTTGTTTTTCTCCAATTTCAGAGTTTCTTGCCCTAGTTGCCGCCGAACTTGTTCGGGTCATATCTTTCTGCACGGGACTCAGTTTTTTACGCTGTCTCATCCGTTGTTCATCTTTTCTCATTTTGGTTCTTTTTCGTTCAAGGAGTTTTGCCGTTTGAGTGCGTCTGCTCGAATTTCACTTTTCTGGACTCGGCGGGGCCCGTTCAAGGCACTTTTTGAGTTTTTCTATAAATAGGGAACCTTTAAGTGAAAAATCAGATTTCTCACTCTCTCCCCCCTCTCTTGGCCAGATTCCATGGCAGCCATGGGCTGCCACCTTCTCTCTCCTCTTTTGAGCTTCTTCCCTTCAGTGAAACGTCGTAGTGCCTTAGTGTTTTATGTTCGCCTTGGTGAGACCTTCGATTCCACCGATTGGAATCTCGTTTTGGCCATTTTTTGAGTTTGGATTTGAAGTCAAGTTGTGATTTTGATGGGACTTCCTTGGGGTTCTTGTTCACCGTGTTGTCCTCGACGAAATCTCGAAGTATCGTTGAATTCGGAGCGGTTTCATTTTGGTAGCTTTTGAGATTTTCATCTCAAATTGAGGTAGGAGATGTCTTAGGTTTATATTAATGTTGTATTGATCGTTATATGAGCATATACAACTTGTAAGCATGCATTTGTTCAAGTTTTATAATTTAATTTAATTATTTTCTATGTTTAAGATTTAATTCACATGGATGTATGTTACTTAGAATTAAATTGTGGCATGCTAGTAAATTAGGCCTTGGTATATTTGTTAAGATATATTAAATTTGGGGCATTTGAATAAAAATTGCAAAACTTATTTAATATTTATTTTTGTGAAAGATTAATTCACATAGTTGTTACAAGTATGAAATCAACTTGTAAGGTGATATTAAAATAGGCCTTGGTATGTTCTTCAACCTATGTTAAAATTGAAGACATTTGGAGTTATTTGAAAATTTAGAGAAAATTAATTAATGAGTTTAATTAAATGTATTTTAAGTATTTTAATCCCTTGATTCGATATTTAATGTGATATATGTGAAGACTATGATGTGTCCCTTAACATATTTTAATTTGAGATTATTTGGGATTGATTTGAAATCTAGAGAATTTAATTATTTTTAGTTAATTAAATTATATCTACTTGTTCCATGAATTTAGCTATGTCTTTAAAATTGTTTCTATGTTTAAATCAAGGAATTGGACTTAGCATGATATAGGATATCATTGTCTTGCATGACTTATTTAAATATATCTTGTGTAGGTATGTAACTTGTTAAAATATTACAATTGTTTACCTTGAAAGCTAATTACTAAATTGTAACTTATTTAGTACTTATGGCTTAGGATGGTAATTTGGTTCAATTATTGTAAAATATTCTTACTTTGTGTATAAATTGCATATTGAGGACATGACATGTCATATGCTATTTAGATTTGAATTATAGGACATGATTTGTGTGGATTCAACCTTACTTGTGCATGAAATGTGGTAACTTGCATTTGATTTTATATAAGTTTTGAACTTATTGATTTTGGAAAGCTTGTGAGGACATAACTTATGTGATGGCTAGGGTTTGGCTCTAGTACGTGGACAAGTGTCCTCTAAGTCATAAGTACGCACTGGGTGGTACCTTGTAGGTCGTAATTACCCGAAAATACTTGCTTAATCTAGCGACCACATGTCCTAATCTTTCCACTATTTGATTTCGCATTTAATTTCAAGTTGTTGATCATGGATTACTTGTACCTCGAGAATTGATGCTTACTTTGGGTATTTGAATCCTATTTAGTATACTTGAACTTGTATACTTGCTCCATGAGTTTAAATTTCATTTAGTATACTTGCGCCGTGTATACTTGTCTTATGCGTATTTTGTTTAGCTTAATATACTTATGGTTGTATACTTGATTTATGAGTACTCTATATATATATCGAATACTTGTGTATGTATGTTGGATATTGCTTTTCTTGTTTAACATGATTTAAGGTATTTAAGCATGTATGCTTGTATGTCGTGTATCATGTTTTAATACGGTTTAGTGTACTTGAGCATGTATACTTGTATGTCGTTGTTCATTTCAATTGCATGAGTAGCTTAGGATGATTCCTAAGTCTCACTTTGACATAAACGTTAGGTGGAATGAGCCCCTTTAACATGTTTCACCTTAAGGTGATATAATTGTAAAATGTTAGGTCGATGCATGCCTATCTCCTACGAGTAGCTTTATGTTACTCATCCACGTAGTGGGGACATTTTTCAGGTATAGGGACCTTGATTTGGGATGCACACTAAGCCATGGAAGTTTCGTAGACTGGAAGTATTATTCTCATGAAAATGTTAGCATGAAATCCTATTTGTAGCTTTGTATATCAAAACTTGTATCTTTGATTCCATATATGTAATGTGTACATAAGTACACTTTTTGTAATGTATTTGACATGTATAATATGAGGCCAAGGGCCAAACATGTTTATATTTGCAGTTGTACTCATTTGACGCTACATTTTGTTTAAAAATGTAATTTTTCCAACTTTGGAGGTTCGGCATGCAAAATCTTGTAAATGAAATGTAATGAGACCGTAGGCCATTGCAACATGTTTAAAATGTCATATTACACTTGCGTGTATGTTCACATCATTACACAATAGCATATAATGCAATTTGATCATGCTATGGGGGATCCATTTGGGACTTAGGAACTTCTCTTCATTTTTGGTGTATAGCAGGTTCATTCTTCACATTTTCGACCTGTTTCGGTCGACCAGCAGCTTGTTTCAGTCGACCGATGCCCTTTGAATTTCAATTGAACAGTAAAAACTCAATTCCAATAGCCATTTTTCATCTTGAGCCACAAACCGGTCGACCAGTTTGTCATTTCGGTCGACCGAAATGAAGGCTCATTTCCCTTCTTTTCTTGGCTCACTTTAGTCGACCGAAGCATCATTTCGGACAACCGAAATAGAGCTGCCTTGTGGGTTTTGTTTGGTTGGTTGCCTAGATAGGTTAACTTCATTTGTTTGATTCCGCAGGAAATTATTGATCTTGCTTGAGCCATTTAATGGCGTACATGGTCTAGTTTAAACTAGATCTTGCTCCTTTGGTTGTCATTGGTGCCATAGGGTACCGAGTGACGTTTTCATTCTAGCTTTCGCTTCCGGTTATTTCTTTGAGTTCCGTGACTTCATAGAAAGTCACATTGGTGTCCTAGGGATGATTGATATCTCTAAAGGCCTTGGTTTACCTTTTGCTTCCCATTTCGGATCCGTTACCGTGTCAACTTTCGGGTCATCGCTGACGTACCGGGTTGAAAAACTTAGGTCACGACAATTTGGATATGTTTAATAATATAATAAAAGTTATTAAAATTTATGCAACTATAAATAGTTGGAGTGATAATTGTTGGGCATATATAATCGTGTGACGACACATGCATCTAAAATTTAAAATATTTTATTATTATTATTATTAGTGATAAAATAATACTCGTATCACGTTACTTTGGTTCATGTCCATCCAGTGCCAGTTTTAGGTTGGATTGTTCTAGTTATACATATTCCACTAGTGACAGTCTTTGACTACATACCATTCATAGTTTTATTATTTTCTCAACTATATTATATTACATTACAGACCATATGATATAATTTTATTCCCAAAACTCTTCTAGTAGCCAGAAGAGATAGAAGTAAAAGAAATATACATGGTTCAAGAATAATGATATATAGATATATATTTAAATGTTCAAATGAATTGACGTTGGAGGGAGAGTATAGAGAGCATATGCAAATGGAAAGGAGAGGGCAAAAAATGAATTTGATTGAAACAAACGAATGCAGAAGCCTCTGTTTATAGGAAGATGGGGTATAACGGTCATATTGAGGGTAGTTTCGGAATTAACAAAAAAAATATCACTAATGCGCATCACAAAATGGATTGGAAGTGGCCGGAGGTAAAATACAAGGGGGCAAGTTGCTCACTTCTGAAACTATAAGAACTTTTATACCACAAAAGAATATTGTACTCACTTGATAAAACTTCATGGGCTATTTTTTACACTTCTGCCAAATATATATAATTTAAGTATCGCTAAAGAGTATGTTACCTAGTGTTATCTCCCCTTTAAAGTTAAAGATAAAGTTTTGATGGATACAAAAATAATAATAATACAATTCTTTCAGGTGTGTATAGATGCATACATAATCTAACATATATATCTTTACATTCTGCCATACAATAATTTGTAAATTTGACGTCATAAACATCGTGGCATATCTTGGAAAAATCAAGAATTTTATTTATTTTTTATTCCATACCTGTATACAAGCCATTACATCTCAAGATTAAGCAACTTTCGCCTCCAGAAACTTTGCAATCATGTATGCATGATATTATTATTACATGCCATACTCTTCTACTTCTCTAGACTCGAATTTCTCTCCGGCTGACAAAATCCAAGCATGAACCGAACATTATACCAATCTGATCTTCAGAAAATCAGAATGATACATTAACAGCTTTAACAGAATATGCACACGAGGCAAAATGCAGGAACCAAACACAGTTTTGATACACTCCCAAAAGCAGACCACACAGTATTTGCACACAGTTGCAGGCATGTCTTTTATTAAGCTTTCCACGAGGACAAGGGCGGAGTGTGAGTTTTCCCAAGTAGTCATCGACGGCCCATATCTCTCGCCCTTAACTGCATCAGCTGAAGCAATGGCTGCGAGTTCTGCCATTTCTTCGGGTGTTAGTTTTACCGACAATGCCCCGATGTTCTGCTTGAGGTTCTCAATCTTGGTAGTACCCGGTATCGGACAAACGTCGTTTCCTTGGTGATGGACCCAGGCCAATGCTAGCTGGGATGTGGTGCATTGCTTCCTTGCTGCCATTTCACTAACCCGCTCAAATAGATTTTTGTTATGTTCAAGATTCTCACCTTGGAACCTCGGGTTATACTACAAAACAGAGATGTCAGCATCAAAACTGCATACTCACATACACAAAAAGAACCAAGCACATAACATTAATTAACACAGTAATTTGTTTCCTAGTCATGTTCTGTCTTTCCAACAGATCAAGCAAAAACATTTACACAACAAAAATTTAATGAAAAACGTTATTTATTAGATGGATCAGCATATTCAATGGAAAGGAATTAAAATTAGATTGCCTTCTTCATTTTGTTGAACATTGACAGAAACTTCTTCTTGTCAAAATGCAAAAGAAGGTTGAGTAGTCTGAAACCAATAATTAACATCAAATTCTTCTAATAGCAAATACAACCCGAGGGAAAACCAATATCAGGTGATCTACACAACATTGAGTTTCAGATAGATGAAACGAGAAAAAAGAGTAAAAGGTGCACGACTGTAACCTTGGGCTCTAATCTAGACCTAGAGAGGGGTGATTAGGTCTTGATAGCTAAATTAACTAATTTTAGCAAATTTTTGAATTTTTGTTGATTTAACAACCATTCAAAAATTTAAGTACCAAACAAATTAACAGTCTCCTCACTCCATCATGCATTCAATCACATAAACAATTAATATGTAAATAAATGTAACTTTTCCTGGGATGCCTTCCCCGTTTGAACGCCTTTTATACAATCTTACTTATCAAAAAAATATGTGAATAAATGCAGTAAAGTTAGAAACACAATGGAGAGATTTACACTAGGTTAAACAGCTCTCAATTCTTGGAACTCCTAGTTACCTCTTGACACAAACTGATCTACCAAAATATCCACTTGAATCTCCAAGCACACAGTCGGCTCTATCAACAACAGATCTGCTCCTCACAGGATCTGCTTCTTAAGCACTTTGATCTCTAGTTCAGTCATCCAATCAGTCATTCTGAAGGGTTGCTCCTTGCTTGGTGTCGAATCAAATACATGTGCGACAACTATAGATGATCAACACTGCATATGCATACCCGCCAATTTAGATGAATGATGATTATGAAATAACCTAAAAACTCCAGCGAAGAATTACTAGAATGACCTCTGTATGCTTCTAAGTATGCTCAGAGACAATATATGAAGCATATCTAAGTTTTCTGAAAACCGAATAGCCTATATAGATACTGACGTGGGTAGGAACTATGCAGGAGAGACGTAGGTGACAGAAAAAAGATCATCAGCAGAATGAAGGCCAGAGTAATGCTCAATTCAGATAATGAATCCAGCCAAGTTGATCTTGCTTTGTATATTTATATGTACCTGTAACCTGCTTATTAAATTTGTATAAAATTTATGAGCATGTTCTAGTAGATTTGAACGGATTGATTTGAAAAAACTTGAGATTATATTAATATAAAGGTCTATAACTTGATATGGTTAATTAATCAAATAAGACTATGAATAATCTGAATAACTAAAAGATTGATTGTAAAGAGAACTATTTATCATGTGTTAACCGGTGAACTGTTCATACCTCCCTAGATTGGGAAGACCCAACAAGACATATACATACATATATATAAATGTATGTGTATTTTGTATAATTGGACATACATGCAAACCTAAATGTATTTGAGGATGACTCAAATAAACACCGACTTAGGAAAATAGCTTGATTTTTTAAACAAAAGAGAATATGTTGTAAACGGCAGAAAAAGTCTTTCATTAGTTTTGGAGATATTTTGCAACACAAGGGACTTTCTGTGACAGATATTCGAGCAACTTTTAGCAGTGACATTATGATATTTAGTGGTTACTATTTTGCACTTTTACAATGATTTGTTTGTTCTTGGCGTCATTCATGTTTCCAAACTTGTGGGGAGAACATTGAAAAAAGGCCTTCATTTGACGTTTCAACAAACAATTAGTGACAACTTCAGTGTGTCCTTTTGTCACTAATAAAATATCTAATGCCCAGTGCTTGACATTTGGTGGTGACTCTTCTCCCCGCTAAAAGTTCAGTTTCTTGTAGTTTTAATGATGTGACAATAATTATCTAAGAAGCAAGCAGCACAATGAAGTCCTAGTATTTTTAACTAATAGGACCCAAAAGAACCTAGTCAATGTGTGAAAATTCTGTAGAAGTTGTGCAAACCTGCAAGTTTTAGGCATAAATTTGCTAAACTAAGTCCTATTACTTAACAAAGAGTGTACCCTGTAATTCAGAATTTGGCTCCACGGGATAATGGTTTCAAACTTCATTGCGCTTGTAACTAATGCTTACACGGGATAATTCAGAATTTGGCTCCACGGGATAATTCAGAATTTGTAATTCATGTTTTCAAACTTGTAAATAATGCTTGCTGAAAATTGTTATGTGTGACGAAGTGTTCATTAAAAACTGCTAGAAGGGAAAATTTTAAAGTTGATTATATGACATCTAGATCTCATGCTGCTCATCATAGCATTGATGCCTTTTATGAGCATGAAGCATTGATTGTCATGTATAAGAAATAATGAAAAAAGAATTTTGCTTATCCTCATCAAATCCATTCTCAATTCTGAACAAAGCTTGAGTATGTTGCTAAAATGGGCTTCCTTTATGCATTTATAGACATGAACAACCACAATGTTAAAAGGTTAGTGGAGGAACTACTGATTTTATACAAGATAACAACTACAGGAAGGACTCTGGCCAAGTAGTTTCTGGGATGTCAACTACCAATTGAATATCATCAGGTGGTGGATTAGGAAAACATTCTAAGCTTCGTAATGTCGATTAATCAGTAAACCACAACATCATGATGACATTAATTCAGGACATGGTTCTTGATATTTACAAAAAAGATGATCACGACATCAGAAAATTTATGCCTTGTTTAGAAGTGAATATATTTCTTTAAAATGTATTGAAAGAACTATATTTGATGGACCTATTGAGCTTTGTAATAAATTGTGAAACCCAAAATGCATGTGTTATACATAGACAAACCTTTCGGAAGTCACCGTTCGATAAGTTCTCCACCAACTTTGGACCAGATGAAAAGAATCCCCGTCCTAGAGGACTGTATGCAACAATCCCAATGCCAAGTTCCCTGAATAATCATAAGAGGAATAAACTTAGGACTTGAAACACTTATCACTCCCTAAGGCCTAAACAGATAAATTAGAACAAAAGATGTCTCGCCTGCAAGTAGGAATTATTTCTTCCTCTACATCTCTTGCCCACAGAGACCACTCCAGCTGCACAGCTGTTATCGGATGAACAGCATGCGCCCTTCTGATCATTGAAGCTGAGGCCTCGGATAGACCTATATATTTTATTTTACCCTCTTCAACTAGTTTCTTGAGTTCTCCCATCTTGCAAAAAGACATTTCAAAAAGGATTAAGAAAAGGTGAATTAGAAGCTTGTTCAGAAAAAAAAAAAAAAAAAGAAAAAAAAAAAAGAGGCAACTTTTAAAACTAGGTAATGCCTTCTGCTTATAATTAAAGAAAATGATTGAATGTGTTAATGTGATAATATTTTTGGATAAGTAATGTGTTCATGATAAATGATCTCTACCCAATGCTAATTTTTCTTTTCCAGGGGTCAGAACAATGTGACCTACCATAAAAAAGTGGACCATGGTGGTTATTACAAAATATGGAAAATTTTCTCTTACACAGTCGGAACAATTCTGATCATAATGATTTTAATTCCAAGGTGAATCCAAGTGTAGACATGATTACATATAGTTGGAGTTGGTGACCTAGAAAATGTAATTTTTTTTTAGTCATGAGGCAAAATGCCTCTCTTTTTATATCTAATAATATAGGACAGCACAATAACAATCAGAATATGAGGAGGTATATGGAAGCAAATCCTACGAGTGGGTACTGAGATATGTTACAAAATCAAAAGAACAAATCTATTATGAGGGTGCTCTCACTGTTCTTTTGATAAGTTACAAAATCAAAAGAACAATCTACTAATTCCAAGGTAAATAATTGCTTACATAGTTTAAAAAAAAAAAAAAAAAAAGACCAGATGAATCCTAATGTACATTGAAATGAAACAAACACAACATGACCAATATTTATCATTTCTATGATATACACACACACACACACACACACACACACACACATACACATACATATATATACATACATACATATATTTACAGAGAGGGAGGAAGAGGCAAAAGGGGGCTAACCGTGACTTCGATAGGGATTCGAGTGTCGATGCGATGCTGGTAATAGAGATCGATGCAATCGATGTCGAGCCTCTTCAAACTGGCTTCACAAGCAGCTCTCACATAGGCCGGATCGCCATTGATTAAGGTATTCCCATCCACAAATCTGATGCCGAACTTGGTGGCCAATTCCACTTTCTCTCTCATCCCTCCCTTCAATGCCTGCGCCAATCAAACATCAAATTGTTCACATTGGTGATTTGATTTGCATATTCTCGCACTGGAAAAAATGGTGTATTCAAGCAAATTAGAAAAGGTATCGTACCTTGCCGATGAGAATTTCGTTGGTGTGAGGGCCGTAGAGGTCTGAGGTGTCGAGGTGGGTGACGCCGGCGTTAACGGCGTGGTGGATGAGGGCGATCATGTCCTGGTCGGGCTTCGGAGGACCGTAGGCGGCGGACATGCCCATACAGCCCAGTCCCTGAGCTGATACCTCTAGACCTTGTGTACCCAGCTTAATTCTTCTCACTGTAGCCATCTCTCTCTGTTGTTGCTTTCTGTGTTCTGTGTGTGCGTGTGTAGGGGCTAGAGAGAGAAAGAGAAGTGTATTTATAGAGAGAGAAAGCAGGGATGAGTTGCCAACTTGCTCCACTGTAGGGAGCTAGCTGGTACTGGTAGCTTACCGTTGTGCTGACGTAAGCACTTTCGTTACAAAACAATACAGTTAAAAATAAGGGGGAAAAAATGTTATCAAGTTGTCCCCAAATGAGTATAAAATGACAAAACTACCTTTATAATTTAGTTATTAAATTTCAAATTTATAATATTATTGTAAGATTACAAAAATACCCCTCACCTCTTTCTAAAACTCTCACCACACCCATTGCTTGGGTGTATCAGTGCTGAAGCTTGGGATACTTGGGATCCGGATTTTGGTGGGTTTTCTGGCGGGTCGAGTCGCCAAAGCTTGCAGAAGAGCAGCCCACTAAACGCCTTGAACGATCCCAAAATTCACAATGTGAATCTTCATTGCTCTCTTAGTGGCTTCAAGGATTACTTGGTTCGCCGTCACCACCACCGCTTGCTGCAACCAACTCTTGGACAACGATGACCCTTCGTCGCCATCGCCGCTTGCTTCCACCAACTTCAGCCTCAATTCCCTTGCACCACCGTTGCTGTTGCCTAGGGATGACAATTTACCATAACTCGGTGGGGAACCGCCCCATACTCACCCCATTTAAAGCGAGTTTGGAGGACCGTTTATTTAAATGGGTGGGAATGGGATTTGGGAAAAAAAAAACAGGCCAGATTTGGGGCGAGGGCAAGGGAGAGGTATCCCGTCCCACAACCGCCCCGATTACATATGGAATTACTCCAATTAACCCGTGCTATGTTATTGTACTTACCGATTTAACATATTATATATATATATATACACACATATAATATTATATATACACTTCTAAATAAAATCGTCCTCATTGGTATCTTCTAAAGTGGGCTGGAGGCCGAGCAAGTGGGGATGGGGAATGAGAAACCCGCCCCATTGCCATCCCTGTAGTGCCACCACCGATCTTGAACACGTCATCGTGCAAGTAGCCAAATCCGTCAGGACCGCTGGCAGCCATCGACAGCAACGGCACATAATAATCCCCCGAGAGCGAGCTCCCACCGAAGCTACTCCCGCTTGATTGTCTTCACAGCCCAATCAACTCCAGAAATGCCGCCGACCCGATCTGATTTCTGCTGCTGAATCATTCGATGATCCATTAGGTCCAGTCAAAGCCTCTGTCGTTCTTTCCCTTGTTCTTGTCGCCGGACAGACACTCGTAGTACGAAGGCACGCCGTCGAATACGGCGGAGAACTTCGACTGCTGCTGGTGGTCGTCTGGAATCTGACTCAGCAGAGTATAATTCTATCGTCTACAAGTAACTCCATGGAAAATAAGTTAAATTAACAAAATTTGAAAAATAGCCATTGTTATACGTCAGTTTGATTCGTTTCAAAATTTGATGCCATTGATGAATGAAACACTGGAGGGCCTTCGGGACGTGCAAGAGCTTGCATCGGCGTTGGCCACTACATCACCTGTTTTAAGCTGAAAATGATGCCATGAAAGAACGGGTTAGACGGCGGCAATGTTGCGGCACAATGTAGAAATCACATGGAATTTGAGGAAGATGATATATATATATATATATATTTATGTATATGTACCATCAAAATTGAGGGGTATATTTGTAACTTTACAATAATATTATAAGTTTTAAATTTAATAGTTAAATTATAAGGCCAGTTTTATACTGATTTGGGCAAACTTGAAAACATGTTTTTATTTTTTAGTTTGGGATATTTTTAATTTTAGTGGGATTTTTTTATACAGAGAGGTTTTTAAAAACAATTTTAAAAAAGTGAACAAGGAACTAATTTTTTAAACATATTAAAAAATATAATTTTTTTATTTTGTTTATTACTACCATATTTTTGTGGTGCGAGGTAAGCCCTTACGTCAGCTCAAAATTGTGAGGAAATCCCTTACGTCAGCACAACAGTAAGCTCTTTTATCTTTCCTGTACCAACTCCCTCCGCCCAACAGACCGGAGGAGTCACTGCGTTCTCCTCTCTCTCTCCAACACTTCCCGATAACACCTTCCCGCCTCTATATATATATATACACACTCACATACATTGATACACACAGAAGTCTAGATCAACACAGAAAGCAACAACGTAACAGAGAGATGGCAACAGTGAAGAGGATCAAGTTGGGTTCACAAGGTCTAGAGGTATCAGCTCAGGGACTGGGCTGTATGGGCATGTCCGCCTTCTACGGCCCTCCGAAGCCGGACCAAGACATGATCGCTCTCATCTACCACGCCGTCAACGCCGGCGTCACCTTCCTCGACACCTCCGACGTCTACGGCCCTCACACCAACGAAATCCTTCTCGGCAAGGTACGATCCCATTTCCAATTTTGCTTGAATTATGTAGATGATCACCAAATGTGAACAATTTAGGGTTTGATTGGCGCAGGCATTGAAGGGAGGGATGAGAGAGAAGGTGGAATTGGCAACGAAGTTCGGGATCAGCCTTGTGGATGGGAAGAGGGAAATAAAGGGCGATCCTGCCTATGTAAGAGCTGCTTGTGAAGCCAGCTTGAAGAGGCTTGACATCGATTGCATTGATCTCTATTACCAGCATCGAATCGACACTCGCCTCCCTATTGAAGTCACGGTTAGCCCCTTTTGGCCTCTCTCTCTATATATATTATTTGTATCTGTATGTTAGAAATGATAAATATTGGCGAATTTGTTTGAATTCCATGTATAATGGAATTTATCTAAAAAATTTTTTCCCTATTCTTAGGGGATGATAATCAATTATTTAACTATTGTGCAAATGGAAGACTAGGAATAGATGTTGTATAACTTCATTTTTTAATATCTCGTGGTTATTTTTGGGATTATGATGCCACATTGCTTAAAATCATCTTATTTGGGTCATTCATTGTTTTTTTTTTTTTTCCTTGCCTCCCTCCATTTTCCTTTGTGGTAGGTAACCTTTTGGGAATACCCACTCTGCCCCGATTTATATCCCTCATTCTGAATTGGGAAAACCTATCATGAAGGCAAACTTGATGGAAATAAGAGGGCTAGAATAAATTGGAATTTGGAGAGAAATAGAGAGGAGAAACACTTGAAAAGTTCTTTTATTCCATTTCAGAAACATGGCTAGAGTACATAAGTTTTATAGGCTTCGAAAAGTATGTATCTAAGACATTATATGTATTCAAACATTTTTACCATTATTCCCACTAGGATGAGATGAATTTTGGGCATATACTAATTCCCACTAAGATGACTTCAAGATTTCTATATAAAACCGTTCATTGTCCAACGTGAACCATTCAAATACCATGTATGTAGAATGGACTATAAGTTTTAGAAAATAAAATCAAGATCAATTTTAAATGCTAGAATGGACTATAAGTTTTAGAAAATAAAATCAAGATCAATTTTAAACGCCCCCTTAGACTTGATTTTGTTATTCCAAGTCAACTCCTTAGCATACAATCCACATCAAACATGATAGCTAACGCTTGGTAAAAATATCAATAATCTGATCTTGCAATGAAATTGTGCTCCCACCTCCATTTTATCTACAATCTTTGTAGCCATTTCCATTCATGTGTAGGGCTTGTCAAAGATCTTCACATGCTTGTATAATATCCTTACATCATGTGTCATTTTCTTCTTCACATGAGCACACCAATGGTTTTCCTTCATGAATTTTCCTTACCTTTTGAACTTCACTTGTGCCTTTTGATTTCTCTTTTTCTATGTTCATCCTACATATATCAATTACAAAGTACTCCATACCAATTTGAAAATTAGAATAATAATTTGAGAAATCTTTACTTCCTTGATGTTCACTCTTACTCTCACACTTGAATGGAATAACTTCATCCGTAATAAGTTCATAAATCCCTATAACAATATGACCACTCATACTTTTCTTTCATTTTGATTAGTGTATATGATCATTTTTGAAAGTATAATTCATATACACTGTTCAAAATGAAAGAAAAAAAGTTTCTTTCAATATAGAATTCATCAAAGTATCTAAATTTCTAACTGTTCAACCTGATTGATTTTTGTCTCTTCTTCAACACCTTTTCCTTTTCCATCCCTTTTTCTTCATTTTTCAACTTTTTTTTTTTTTGATAAATGTTCATTTTTCAACTTTTTCAAGAACTTCTCTTTCCACTTTGTTCTAGTCCACCTTTTCAATGTCTTTTTCGACATCGTTCTTTTCCTCTTCCTTTTTGTTCACCATTTCAAGTTGTCTTTAAAATTTTGAATCTTTAGTTTCATCAACTTCATGCATATAAAACTCATCCCCGTACTCCATGGGTAAATTCAAGAATGTCATAATCTTCCTTTGTAAACTCATCTTTCTCAAAGCTTTGTATCCAATACTCCATAGGTAATGATCAACATTTATGACTAGAGATATTTGTCTCCAGCATCTTCCAAACATGACTTGGAGATTTGGACTCTCTAATATGCTTCCAAGTTTCTTGATGTATTGCCTTTTTACCAAAGTGCAAGAAGTCTGTTGGACATGCGATTTTTAACTATTGTCCAACATTTTCCCACAAACCACATGCTTTGAGATGTGAAGTGATGAAAATCTTCGTCTTTAATAGATTTTGTCCTCTTCTTCTTTAAGGATATATATTTTGTCCTTTAAAATGCTAAACCTTTCAGGATCATTGGGGCTATAATATATTGAGGTCTTCAGGATCATCTGGCTCTAACAACACTTTGTTAGAAAATAAGAGGGATAGAATAAGAAATTGATATTGGGAGAGAAGGGGAGAGAGAGAAACACTTAGAAGCCACGTCAGAAAAATGGGCTATAATAACTTTGTATAGGGTTCAGAGCATGTATCTAACCAATTAGATGTATTCAAACAGTTACTCATCACTCCCACTGTGAAGACTTTTGGGACATTTACAAACTCCCACTATGTTGATTTAAAGATTTCTACATCAATGCATTCAATTTACATGACCCTTGGCCATTCACGAGACTTTGAGGGTTCGATTGAAGGCATGAGCTAGCAGTGAGAGGGTTGTGTATTCTCTTGGGAGCGCTCCCCTTTTGTTTGCCTTTGATGAATTCTTACTTATCAAAAAAAAAAAAAAAAGCAAACAGTGAGAGTGGCCCTCAGAATAGATTTGTTCTTTCGATTTTGTAGCACATCTCATCACCCACTCATATAATTTGCTTCCATATACCTCCTCATATTCTGATTGTTATTGTGCTGTCCTATATTATTAGATATACAAAGGGAGGTATTTCGCCACAAGACTAAAAAAATGACGTTTTCTAGGTCACCAAGTCCAACTATATGTAATTGTGTCTACACTTAAATTTTTTTTTTTTCCCCTAAATGAAGGATTTTATAAAAATATAAACAATATAGTACATGTTGAATTAGTAAGGGCATACCCTTACTAAACAAGAACAAAACCTGTTAGAAAACAGGCCAAAGAAAATACAAAGCTAACAATAAGATTACAAAACATCTTGGAGTGTGACCCCCATGACATCAAGAACCTCCCAAATAATACACTTAGCTAATTCCAAAGGAGCTCTACATAGATCATTGTGCATCCTTTCATTCCTTTGTTTCTAAATAAAATATAACACAGCTGTGAAAACAATATGGGCCAATTTAGTCTTCTTTCCATTAAATCTCTGATTGAACACAGCAACCAAATCCTGTACTGCATTCACCTTCTCTAGTTCCCAACCAAAAATTCCAGAAATGCTAGACCACACCTCCTAAGCATAATTACAGCTACAAAACAGGTGATCCAATGTTTCAACATCATTATGATTGGAATAAACATCATTATGATTCACCTTGGAATAAACATCATTATGATTGGAATTGTTCTTATTGTGTAAGAGAATTTTTTTTCATATTTTTTAATAACCACTATGGTCCACTTTTTATAGTAGTTCAAATTGTACCAACCTACGGGGAAGAAAAATTAGCATTTGGTAGAGATCATTTATCATGAACACAAGCAACTTGGATTTGACGTCATTATAATTGGAATTGTCCTGATCATGTAAGAGAAAATTTCCCATATCTTGTATAACTACCATGGTTCACGTTTTTTTAATTGTAGTTTAAATTGTTCCAACAAATGGAAAAGAAAAATAGCATTTGGTAGAGAGCACTTATCATGCACACGTTACTTATAAAAAAATACTGTCGTGAACACATGCAATCATTTTCTTAAGCAGAAGGCATTCCATCTTAAGGTAGTTACCCAGTTTTAAAAGTTTTTTTGTTACACTAACAAATCTTGTGGCAGAGTCATAGAATTTTTGTCTGTTTCTCTTACATGTTATGTCTACATAATTTGAGTATCTCCAATAATATTCCTGAAATCCTTTTTGAATGTCCTTTGCAAGATGGGAGAACTCAAGAAACTGGTTGAAGAGGGTAAAATAAAATATATAGGTCTATCTGAGGCATCAGCTTCAACGATCAGAAGGGCGCATGCTGTTCATCCAGTAACAGCTGTACAGCTGGAGTGGTCCCTGTGGTCAAGAGATGTGGAGAAAGAAATAATTCCTACTTGCAGGTGAGACATCTTTTGTTCTAATTTATCCGTTTAGGGAGTGACAAGTGTTTCAAGGTCCTAAGTTTTTTCCCCTTGTGATTATTCAGGGAACTTGGCATTGGGATTGTTGCGTACAGTCCTCTAGGACGCGGATTCTTTTCATCTGGTCCGAAGTTGGCGGAGAACTTGTCAAATGAGGACTTCCGAAAGGTTTGTCTGTATAACACATGCATTTTGGGTTCCAAAATTTATTATAGAGCTCAATAGGTATATAAAATTTGCTTCTTTCAATACCTTTTAAAGAAATATATTCACTTCTAAAGAAGGCATAAATTTTCTAATGTCATAATGATTTTTTTTTCGTTGTAAATATCAAGAACCATGTCCTGAATTAATGTCATGATGGCGTTGTGGATTACTAATTAATTGATATTATGAAGCTTAGAAAGTTTTCCTAATCCACCACCTGGTAATGTTCGATTGGTAGTTGACATCCCAGAAGCTGCTTATTGGCCAGAGTCCTTCCTGTAGTTGTTATCATGTATAAAATCAATTGTTCCTCCACTAGCCTTTTAACATTGCGGTTGTTCATGCTCTGTTCAGAATTGAGTATGGATCTGACGATGATCTGTAAAATTATTTTTTCATTATATCATATACATGACAAGGTTCTTCACAATCAATGCTTCATGCTCATTAAGGGCATCAATGCTATGATATGCAGCATGAGATCTAGATGCCATATAAAGAACTTAAAATTTTCCCTTCTATATTTCAGTTGTACTTGGACCCGTGGAAACCACAACCTCCCTTTCCATGAAAACTTCGTAATATGTAGTGAACATCATCCGGGTACATAGCAGTTTTCAATGAAGACTTCATCACGAATAACGATTTTCTGTACTTTAAAAGGTAGCGCCAATATATATATATATATATATGCTGAAAATTATTAGCAAGCAGTATTTATTTTCTATTTATAATACCCTGTTGTCTCATGGAGCCAAATTCTGAATTACAGGGTACGCACTTTGTTTGGCAATAGGACTTAGGTTAGCAAATTTAGTGCCTAAAACCTGTGGTTTGCATGTGTGTATAATCATACAAACAGTAACATCTACAGAATTTTCATACACATTGACTAGGTTCATTTGCGTCATATGAGTTAAAAATAATAGGAACTTCATTGCACTGCTTGCTTCTGAAATAAACCTAGATATGCTTCATATATTTTCTGTGAGCATAGAGAGTTCATTCTAGTAATCCTTTGCTAGAGTTTTTAGGTTATTTCATATTCATCATTCATTTAAATTGGTGGGTATGCATATGCGGTGTTGATCCTCTATAGTTGTTGCACATATATTCGATCCGACACCAAGCAAAGAGCAACCCTTCAGAATGACTGATTGGATGACTGAACTAGAGATCAAAGTGCTTAAGAAGCAGCACCAGTGAGCAGATCTGTTGACAAATCGGACTATGTGCTTGGAGGTTCAAGTGGATATTTTGGTAGATGAGTTCGTGTCAAGAGGTGACTAGGAGTTCCAAGGACTGAGAACTGTTAACCTAGTGTAAATCTCTTCCCTATAGTGAATTTGATATGTCAACATTAAGGCTCGTGGTTTTTTCTTTTGGAGTTTCTACGTAAAAAAGATCTCTGTATCCATTATGTTTCTACTTTTACTGCATTTATTTACTTATTAATTGTTTATGTGATTGGATGACCGATGGATTGAGGAGATTGTATTCAAACATTCAATCATTAGTCATTAAAACACTCTTCGCGACTCCATAGGGAACTCGAATAAGTTAAAGTCAAAACTCTCATTTTCTTTCAAAGAATGAATCTTTATATATTAAAAAGATTTATTGACATAATAGGTACCTTGACTGAGGTAATTTCATTCAAAGATTCAATCTTTAATCATTAACACACTATTTGTGACGTCAAAGGGAACTCGAATAAGTTTAACTCAAAACTCTCATTTTCTTCCGAAGATTCAATCTTTATATATTAAAATGGTCTAGTGACATAATAGATACCTTGATTGAGGTATTTTCATTAAAAGATTCAATCTTTACTCATTAATCATGACCTATTCACCCATCTCTAGGTTACGATCGCCTGGTATTGGTTTTCCTTTGGGTTGTATTTGCTATTACAAGAACTTGATGTAATGATTGGTAGACTACTCTACCTTCTTTTGCAATTTGGCAATTTGACAATAAGAAGTTTGATTCTCTGTCAGTGTTCAACAAAAATGAAGAAAGTAAACTAATTTGAATTTCTATTTAGTTCTTCCATGGAATATGCGGATCCATCTAATAGGTAACATTCTTCATAAAATGCAAATAATTTGATTACAATTATTGGGAGTTTTATATTGAACTTATTTTGATAGTTTTCCCAGTTATCAAGCATCTATTTCCTCCTCCAATGTTGCTTGACCTATTGGAAACACAGAACATGACTAGGAAACATATATACTGTGTTAATTATATCAAATCATGTATAATTAATGTTTATGTGCTTGGTTCTTTTGTATATGTGAGTATGCATTCCTGATGCTGACATCTCTGTTTTGTAGTATCTTCCGAGGTTCCAAGCTGAGAATCTTGTGCAGAACAAAAATATATTCGAGCGGGTTTGTGAAATGGCAGCAAGGAAGCAATGCACCACGTCCCAGCTAGCATTAGCCTGGGTCCATCACCAAGGGAATGATGTGTGTCCGATACCCGGTACCACCAAGATTGAGAACCTCAAGCAGAACATCGGGGCTTTGTCTGTAAAACTAACACCTGAAGAAATGGCAGAACTCGAAGCCGTTGCTTCAGCTGATGCAGTTAAGGGTGATAGATATGCGTCGATGGTGGGTACTTGGGAGAATTCAGACACTCCACCCTTGTCCTCATGGAATGCTTAAAAATGACATGCCTGCAACTCTGCAAATAGTCTCCATGGTTCAAGAACAACTGTGTGGTTGGTCTGCTTTGGGACTTGGGAGTGTATTAAAACTGTGACTGGTTCCTGCATTGCCTCGTATAATTCTGATTTTATGAAGAAAATAGGAGTCTAAAGAAGTAGAAGAGTCTTTGGCTTGTAATAGTATATCATACATGGTTGTAAAGTTGCTTAATCTGGAGAAATAATGGCCTGTATACTGGTATGGAATAAAAAATAAATAAAATTCTAGATTTTGTCAGTTTTACAAAATATTGTGCATGGCAGAAAGTAGAGATGAATGATATGTCGTAACGGTATAATTGTCTTTTTATTTTTTCTAACTGTCAGAATGTCCTTAATTGCAACAAATTTATATAGTTGAAGGTTTTTTTTTTTTGGGTAGTTAGAGAGGTTTAATGCAATAAATCAATAATTTTTTATTTATTATTATTATTTTGGGGGGGGGGGGGGGGGGGTTGCTAATTAGATTTCGTATTGCTCCATAAAAATAAAGCGCTCACATGGAACCTTAATTAGTTAATTTGCTTACAAAATAGTCTTTTATGTTTTAAACAAAGTTGAGGTGGCTAGTAAAAAAAAGTACAAAAAACATATATTATACTAATAATGTAATATCACACTCTTCGCGTCCACAAAATACCTCCAAAATTATTAATTTAGTACAAGCCGACATGTTAATATGTTATGTTCAAATGACACATTTTATATATTATTTAAAAAATGTCATTTTATGAAATGATGAAAAAGGCCAAAAGTTTTAAAAGAGTTAAGAGTGCAAAAAACATACCTCTACTTAGTCTTAAACCCCCGTGTGCACATTCCCAAAGTATTGATTTGGTACAAATAAGCCCAGCTCACATAATATACATTTTACATATTATCTAAAAACATATCATTTTGTGTTTAAGATGACATGTAATTTTATATATGCATACAATGATATGTGATGTGTATAAATTGTTTATTTATACATGTATAAATTTGGAGAATATGAGCTTATAAACAAAATATTATTAAAATATATCTCAGCCCGCACAAGAAACAAAAGATGATGAGATACATACATTTTAAATTTTATTATATATATATTTTTATTCATTTATTATATAGAGTGTGTATTGTTTTTGGGAAATATAGAGAAAAAAAACTAATTATAGAGGAAATATATATATATATATATATATATATATATATAGAAAACCTTTAAAAGTGAATTAAATATAATTTGATATACACAACACACCTCTACATGAGAATATATGTAATACACCATGAGACTATATATTATACACGCCTCATTTTCGAAAGGTTAAAAGGGCAGAATGGACATTAAAATATTACATTTTTTTTTTTGGGGGGGGGGGGGGGGGTGGTTGTGTTCCCACACATTTTTGAAAGATTAGGCTGATAATAGCGTACTTTTAAATTAGGGGATGAAAATCATGAAATTGGTATGGCAGTGCATACTTCAAAGGTGTTTTCAACACATAATCCTCATTGAAACCACACCAAAAACAAAAATAGGAAGAAAAAAGGAAGCGTGAATAAAAAATATAAATAAATAACACGCTTATATTGCAGCTATCAATTAAGATATTTGCTGATTAATTACTGTTTTCATAAAAAATTTGAGCTCAAATTAGAAGATAAAGAGCAAAAAGGTATGAGCAGTTCTGGAAGTGGGCTTCACACACACATGCAAACTAATTGATTTTTATTTGTGTAAATGACTTGGTTGAATATATTATCAAACAAACTTTTATGAAGCCAAAAGAGAAAATTAAACAAATAACCACCACCTTTTTTCTGGCTGGTGAGCTCCTCTAAAGGCTAAGTCAAGACTAGAATAAAAAAAGAGCAGCCAATGAATCAAATGAAGAACAGAATAATGAGGGGTTAACAGCTCTTCGAATATCATTCAAGTTAATTAATTTACTATCAATCTCAGACATCTAGAGGAGGATAGACTTTCGACGAATTAGAGGTGCTAATCCTACCATGCAGTAGCACATGGCCGATAAGTAGAGGTCAAATGATTGGCCGATTCATCCAGAGCTCAGGCTCAACTACATAAGACCTCTATCCATTTTGTTAGCACCGTACATGAGCATAATTTAATCAACATTTTCGATTCCATTAAGCAAGAGAGCCAGACTTGAATAAACTTTGCTTGACTCGTTGAAGTCACGAATATGTTGATAAACAGATAATCACGGCTCATTTATTGAGCTCAAGTGTGAACTCGAGATTGGCTAGCAAGTGAAACAAGCCAACCTTAACCTTGGCTAGCACTATCCGAGCCTACAAAATATTATCAACTAGTGACGTCTAAATAATGGGCCTGACATCCAGTAACTCAAACCAAAGAAGTAGCTCTTTACAACTTAATTCTCATATAATTTAATGTGACATCAAAGATGAGCAATAATGGATAACAAATAGTTTCAGCATAACCTCTCAAGCCATATCAAGCAAAAATGTTCCAAGAATTCGAAAAGCATCACGAATCAACTTTTTCCCAAAGAAAGTGCACATCAAGCCCAAATGCTCCAAGAGTTCAAAAGCAGAGTTAAATATTACCGAAACAAAGTTTACACAACTACACCAATGTAAGATTTATGTACCGTACGCAAAGAGTTCACTCTGCCAGTTCTACTCTTTCAACAGTTCTCAACCTTCTCTGGATTCCTCATGATTTTCAACCCTGATCGCAAGCCCTGAAAGAACATTCATTGCACATCAAGCCCAAGAAAATACTAAGATTAACAATAATTGTAACTCCTCAAATATACGAATATGAAACTGTAATTGACCAAGAAAATTTTAAGTTTATGCTACCTATTAATGCAGTAGTGATGATATTATAGGGGTTACTTAAATGCAGGGTTGAGGTTTTACATTCACATGCGGCGATAACAGAACTCAGCCATATACAACTTATAAGATTTAAAATTAAATACAATCTGCCTATTGCCCCTTCTTTCATTTCTTTTCCTGGATTTATTCCTTGCATCCTCACAAGTGACTGTATCACGAGATTTTGCACTAGAACTAGGCTCTCTATGTAATCATCTGTATAAATCGAGTCCCTTCGAAGAATCGATTCTGCATATGCACCAATATGTAAAATGTAGCCTTTCCTTGTAAAGCCACATACACTATAGGAGTAGTCAATGGTGAACATTTTTGTCCGAGATTTCGGTATGCCATACTCCTTCATCACCCATACCCAAGAAGGTTTATCGCCCAAAATACCAGTAATTAGAGAGAGTGAATCTTGAAACTTAACAACATTAACACTTCCCTCCACGTGCTCACGAAAAATGATACCGGGCACCATGATCTCACGAAATACCTCATCGCCCATGTGGAATGACACGATCAAGTGGAAGACATTGTTGGGGCTTTTCCGATCGTAAGCAAGCCAATGTGAAGCCCCGTTCAGATAAACCTGTGGAGACCTCTCGTAGATGTTATGTGAACGACCCAAATGGCCAATGTCCCGCCATGTCCTTGTGCTCAAACTGAAAATGTCAACCTCCGGAGGACTTTGAAAACCCATATCAGCAAGATACACAATCCTGACAACCTTGTAGTCATCAGTCACGGAATCGAACCCGAATCCAATGCCAAGCATATACCGACCGTGTGATCGAGAGGTGACACGCAATGGCAGGAGCTCCAGTCTTCTAAATCGATAGATTCCATAGAAAAAGCTTCTCCTTGTAGCTGTGCAAATCTTCTAACTTCATTATTTTCACATATTTATAATGCATAAATAAAGTAATTAAATATAAATATCTCGATATATGATTGCAAATCTCCAAGTCCACGTTGAACGCTTGCCCAATAAAAGAATTAAAAAAAAATAATACAACTCACTCAAAATAAAATAATAAGTAACAAGAACAATTCAGAGAAAAAACGTATATTGCTCGATGATCTTTATTGGAGGTTTAGGTCTCATTTATATACAAAAAGATGGTAAAATTCTAGTAGGACTTGCATTGCTAATACATTCCATATACAATGTTCCTTCCTATAATGTTGTTTCCTTCTATACTTCTTTCCATGCCGGATTTCTCTTTCTGTAGAACTTCCTTGTATGAAGGATCCTTTATTTGGTAGGACTGGTTCTGTCTTTAAATAAATCTGGGCCGAATGCAACTTGGTCTAGCTGACTTTATTAACGGGCTAGAAGTTTAATATTGGTGATCTTGGGCCGTTAGTGATTTTATCTGGGCTTGAATAGGGCTTGGCTTTTGTAACCCAAAAAATAAAGCTTCTGTTATGGCTATGTGGCTGGCTTTTATTGGAGGGGGATTTTTTCCTCCACACTTTGCCCCCAATTCCCTTTTTAATTGGGCTACGGCTCCTAATTAGAAGGAAATTGAAGTTGTATGGTTGCTAATTTTGTAAGAGGCGGTTTCGAGGAGCGACCATTGACATTCTGACCAAAGGGTTTCTTTGCATCTTGTTTTTGGCTTCACTGCGTTTATTGTGCTCATTGCTTCATCGCGATTCCAAGTTAGTTTTCCATTCATTTCTTTGATCCTGCATCATGAGCACCTCATTCACTCACGACCACATAGACATTGTAGATTCTGATTCCACACCCTCGTCTTCCCCTACTCTCATTAGGGTTCCTCCTCTTAGGGTTTCTAACCCTCTTGAATCTACAAGCGACTTGGCCAATCGAATGGATGATTCTTTACCTCAAGCTGAAGTATCCACCTCTGGGTCGGGTAGTATCTTCACTAAGGAGGAGAAAGAAATGATTTTGTTTATTTGGCGTCTCAATTTCACCATTGACTCTGTAATAGAGGAATTTGAAATCCCCGAGGGGATAGAAATTGTTGAATACCCAAGGATGGCTGATTTCAGTTTAGGCGAGGGCGTCAGAGAGAATGAATTGCTTTTATCAGTCGGGCACCTTAATGCTCTTCGCTTTCCTCTTCACCCCTTCTACCATCTAGTCCTCAATAAATTAGGTCTTTATAATGACCCGGTCATTTTCTTCTTTTCCTTTTTCCTCAAATTTTACGGATAAATTTTTTCCGTTGTCTTTTCCTTTCGGTGTTTGGTTTCTCATCACTTAGTGTCGTCTCGAGTGTTCGGAAATGGTTTCTGAGACTCTTTCCCTTGAATTGACAACTTCATTTAAGGACCGAATCATTTTTACATTTTTCGTTTTTCGACACTATTCACTTTTCGCCATTTTCCCTATTTTGTCTTTTCCCCTTTTGTCA